TTTCCTTAGCTCTGGAATGCCTCACCCTCAAATATCACTTGGGGTTAGCTGTCAGTACAATCAAGACATATGCTTCTGCATTAAATTGTCTAATCCCTAATCTGACCCACGATGCTCTTTACCTCAGGTTGTTAGAAGGGCTATCGGTTTGCCTTCCTTTTACTCTGAGATACACTTCCACTTGGGATGTGGATCTTTTAATAAACTACCTTAATACTTTGGACAATGGCTAGATTGACCCAAGATGGACGGCTATTAAATTAGCATCCATTCTGGCTTTAGCTCTGGCAGCTAGAGGCTCAGAATTAACACAGATAAATATTATCGAACCATGGTTGTCTTGACATCCAGGGGGGGTTTCATGTCATCCTTAAAGGGAGACAGAAAACTTCTCATATTTTCCCAGGTCCTGTAAAACTAGATTTTGGTACAGGATTCTGCTGAACCAAGTTTAAATTTAGTTAATTTGCTAAACTCATACTTGAATCTTTCTGCCCCAGTCAGGCAAGACTTTACGCAATTATTTGTCACTTCCAGGAAACCTTTTTGGCCAGCTAAGGTTAACACAATCAGGGGTTGGATACTGGCTGCCATGTCTGCAGCAGGTATTGATGTGACGTTTTTAAGGGCCATTCTATCAGAGGAGCTTCAGCTTCAAAAGCAGCAGAAAGAGGCCTTCCTCTTCCTATTATCCTTTAAAGCAGCAAGAGAGTCTTCCAGTAGGTTTTACTGGAGACTATCTGAAGTTGAACATTTACAGTTTCTTAGGACCATCACCAAATGTGTGCCATTCTACCCACTAGCTTTGCTAGGACACAGATTCCTGCAAACTCTGTTTTGTTTTTGCAAGTCCTTCTAGACAGATGTTCTGTCAGTAGGAGAATTGGAAAATTAGATCGCTTTAGGTGATTTGTCCTATCTTTGCCAGCTCTATTTCACAACACGGCTACGGATTCCAGAATATCACCATGATTATATTTTTGTGCAATATATAAGTTATCTGCTATTAATGGAACTTGCAATCTCACAAGTCTCTTATCAAGAATACCGTCAGACGTCTTGCTAGCTCTAATCCCATTCAAATTTTATTATAGCATCTTTTACAGCACATATTAGGGATCACAGCTTTTTATTTTATTTTTTTTTTTAAATTAGCAAAAAAAGTAATTGTTTCACCTTTTGCATTTGCATTGTACCCTGGTATTACAGCAACAAATGCAAGTGTTCAAAGCCTGACTTTTGTTGACCTACATTTTTATATTTTTAAATTTCCCTGTTATTGATATGCTTGCTTGTGTTTGGTCCACTCCTTACAATGATGCTTTGCAGTGAAGGAGTTAAGATGACCCAGATCAGACTATGTACAGAAATGCCAGTCCCAGTTCCTGTCACCAAGGCTTCTAATCTGGTCTCAGTCTTGTCCTGCTGGCCCTTCAGCTAAGTGCAGTTTCCTCGCATTAAATCAGCAGGCGTTCCTGACAGCTGCTGTGTGTGGACTACGGACAGAGGAGGATCTGAGCTTGTCCTGCCTTCACTCTAATGCATTGTCTGGCAACATATGTGGGACATGCCTTGGAGTAATCTGAGCAGTTAGAGTACTATTTATGGAGTTCTTTTTCAGTTTTACCTTTCTTTGAGCATTTTCTTATCATTCTATTAATATTTTATTGGTTATTGCACACCAGATTTTCATGTAGGAGCCTTTATTTTTTCATATTTTCAGGTGAAGTTAAAGTTTCTGGTTAGTAGATCTGTTCTGATCTACTTTTCCTGTATCTATAGGACTCTCAGTCTTTCCTGATACTTTATAAATAATTAAATGATAGTGAGTTCTGCTGTTCAGGGATTATCCTCATCAAATGTGGACGCAAAGACCAGATTCCAACTACAAAGATTTAGAACATGTAACATGCACACCGAGATGGAAGCCATAAAATAATAATCAGTAAACTACCAAGTGGTGTAACTGTTGATTCTTCAGTATACAACCCATATTTCTCTTTTGCAGAAACTCAAAATAACATGCTACAATTATTTTTTTTATATATATATATATATATATATTTGAAATGACTGCCTATTCCACTTTTTCCTTGCATCTCTCCTTACTAACATGTACATTTTGTAAGCAAACATACATTTAAAACATATCCTGTAAACGTTGGACAAAGTAGCAATATTGAGTAGAACTTGCTCTTCAATGATACTTGACTGTACTCACAAAGAGGAAATAGGCTCACCATTTCACTTTATATTTTATGGGGGTTATATTTGCTTCCTACTTTGCTTTCCTCTGACAGGTTGAAATTTAATGAGTTATGGATCCTTTCGATTAATGCAAAATAATCACCTATTTTTATGTACATTTCTTGATCTTCTTTTAAAATGGAAATGTAGCAAAATGTTATAATCCAAATCAAAAGTTTAATTTTTGAAAGTTTGTAAAATAACTAAGTAGAAATGAAAATCTCCATTCTAGATTGAACTGAGTTTATTTCCTCGACACTATCCATAAAGAAAAATATAATGTCAACAAATCGGTAAGTATGTGTGTCCTGCATGAAGCTAATGTAGATCACATCTATCCTAGGCAGAGTGCTTCTATAAAGTTCAATACATAAACAGCACAAGGTGGTGGACTGGCTAGCACAACAGGCTATTAGCCAGGCATGTATGCCCATCATGCAGGGCCGGCCCAAGACATTGTGCTGCCTGGGTCCAAGGATGAAATGCTGCCCCCCTCCCCACCCACCCACCCACCCCCCAAAAAAAACACAACCACCAAAGCACACCGACATCCATTATGTTAGATCAGGGGTAGTCAACCTTTGTTGATGGTAAAATATCCTTACAACCCACTAGTGCCACAGTAATTCGATTTTTAGCACTGTGTGTGTGTGAGGTGGGCAGTTTGTGTTTGGGGGGGCAGTGTGTGTGTGTGAGCAGGGCCGACGCAACAGTTAGGCGAACTAGGCATTCACCTAGGGCACCGACCCGCTAGGGACACCCACCAGGATATTTTTTGGTTGGCTCCCCCTGTCCTGGGCCTCAGCGCTGGGCGAACGGCTCTAGAGCCGTCCACCACTCAGGGCCGGGCAGATCCTCCATGCGCCTGAAAATGGGGGTGCTGAGAGAAGCCCTATCACAGGGGGCCCAGGAGGTGGCAGGCTTACCCTGATGGCAGGTGCCTGCTCTGCCAACGAATGCCGGAGGACAGGATGCCGGCGGCGGCAGTGTGGGCGGTGAGGGAGGCTTTTCTTGCAGCTCCCCACTCCTCCCTCATGCACCCTCTATGATGCCGGGAGCCGGAATATGACGGCCCCAGCATCCTAAACAGCGCGCTGGAGGAGTGAGGAGCTGCCCCACACTGAACCCAAGGGAGGTAGGGAGGCTGGATGTCTGATTTGTGTGTCAGTGAGTGTGTGAGTGAGTGTTTGACTGTGTTTAACTGTCAGTGAGTGTCAGCCTACTCTGCTGAAATATTACAGGGGGAGGAGAGAGGAGGCAACAAGGGAGTGCTGATGTTCTTCCTGTTCCTCACTGCTCCCTCGCGCATCCTGCAGTGATGCCTGAAGTTAAAATACAACGTTTCTCCAGCCCAACATCAGTGAGGAACCGGAAGATTGCAGAAGCCACTAAACCCCAAGGAGAAGATCCCTACTATACCTCAAAGATTCTCACCGGAACCCACACCAGCTCTTCTGTCTGTGTCTGTCAGTGAGTGTGTGTGTGTGTGTGTCAGTTGTTTGAGCCCAGTCTCCTTTCCCCAGCAGCAGGACTCTGTATTGGGAGCAGAGACAGTCGGTCTCCCTCCCCCTCGGCTGGAAGTATGTATAGGAGAGGAGCTTGTTACCCCCTCTCCCCAGCGGCAGCTTAATGTACCAGGGGGAGACAGTATTTTATTTTATTTAGTTTTGTAAAATGCTTCCAAAATTAAACAGAATAACAAAATAAATAACAAAATAACAATAATAAACAATCAACTGAAATAATACCCAATTCAAACATAATACCAAATGAAACATAAATACCCCAAAATTAAACATAAATACCTAAATAAAAACTCAGGAAGGGGCACTAATAGGGGAGTAAACTTATACCAAATTAAATAACTGGGAATAACAGGGAGAGGGATTAACAGAAAAGGGGGGGGAACTAAATCATAAGGGGATAAATTAAAAGGCGGGGGGCTCCATTACTTCATGGAGCCTTGGGGAGGGAGAAAAAAGGCTGAAATGCTCCTGAAGGAGCTCTTACATAACAAGGGGGGGACAAGGGGGACCCAATTGACCTCGAGTCCACAGCCAGCTAAACACAAACATAAACCAAGCGTGAAATAAAACACACACATAAACATAAACAAACCCATTACCCACATGGAGTCCTTTTCTCAGTTCATAAAACCCACCAACCACATGGAGTCCATCCCTCCGTCCATCAACACCAACCCACCACCTACACTTTAAACCCAAACTTTAAACCCAAACCCACCACCCAAATGGAGTCCATTTTCAATTCATAAAACCCACCACCCTCATGGAGTCTATCCCTCCGTCCATCCCCCAAACCCACCACCCAAATGGAGTCCTTTTCTCAGTTCATCACATCCAAACCCACCACCCACATGAAATCAAAATTTTGTCCATAGACCCACCACCCACATGAAATCCAGTTTGTACACCACCCTCAAGGAGTCCATCCCTCCATCCATAAAGAAACCCAGTGGTTTTTTTTTTTGGTTTTTTTCCCCACCCAAAGTAAATTTTTCAATTTGTCCATACACCAGAAACCCACCCTAACCCAAACAATACCAAAAATAACCTGTGCATAACCATAACCATAACCTAACTACACTGCACTACCTAGACGCAGAGGAAGGTACTCGTCTGCTAAAGGTGGCAGCCTTCCATGAAAAGAGAAACCAGTTCAAAATCTACGGGGGAAAGGTGAAGACAGATTTGGAATTCCCTTCACCAAGACAAGGGCGCCCATGGAGCGGTTCAAGGCGGGTGGACCTTGAGATTTCGCCACAAACGCTGCCAAATGGTGGGATCCATAGAGGCCCTTTCGGTGGTATAGATCCCACGAACCGCCCTCAGAATGTCTGCTACCACCACCTGACAGGAAAGGTCTTTACGTTGAAGGGAAACCTGACACCTTGCCATCCAAGTGAAATACTTAACCACTGAACTGACTACATAAAGAGTGCCCAAATCAAAAGCCCTCCCCCTTGAGTTGGACGTCCCGTACGCCCACTCCGCATAAGTCCAGCGGGATAAGCAGGGGATGCCTAAGGCGGCTGAGACCTCTTTGTAGACCTGTACGTTAAAGTGGCACTCGAGGAGGAAGTGGTCCATGGACTCCACTTCCCCGGAACATTCCACCCGAGGACAACCACGATCCGTTATGTTCCTGTACTTCAAGTTCCCTCGAACGTAAAATCTACCGTGGAAGGAGAGAAACGCCACGTCACGGTATTTCTCCGGAAGACGCCTGGAGTTGATGTTTTTCAACCCCGAGGCGAGAGTACTTGGCGGGCAGTCCTTCAAAGCAAGCTGAATGCCAAAGTGGGTGGCCAGGACCCTCCCGTCGAGAAGCTTCTTGGGAGTGTCCCGAACCTCCTCCACCGTGACGTTCCACCTGCGCAGAATTCCCACTCCCTCGATGACCGAAGACGGAAGATAGCTAGAATGCCGAACTCTCATGCTCTTCACCCTCCCACCCTGAAACCAGTCCACCAGGAAAGGTGTGACCCACTCCCTGAATATACATACCCAGCCAGGCTGCTCATCCTTCAGGAGAGCCCCAAAGTTCCTTTTCAGGAAGTTGTTAGTTAAAAAGACGATGGGGTTGACCATGGCCAGACCCCCGTCCTTTCTGGCCAGGTAAGTGACCTCTCTTTTGATGAGGTTCAGCCTGTTCCCCCACAACATGTGGAAGAACAGCGCAAACATCCGAGCGTGGAGGGACCTGGGCAAAAGGAAGATGTTACTGACGTAGCCGAATACGGTCAGAGCATAGGTTTTGATTAGGTTCACCCGTTCTCTGAACGTCAGTTTCCACCTGTGGCTCTCCTCCACCTTGTTAGAAGCTATGGCAAGCCGCTCGGTCCAGTTCCTGAGAGCCAGATCCCCTGGTCCGAACACCACCCCCAAGATCTTAATTTCAGGCTGGGCCCTCGGGAAACCGTCTGGAAGAGGGAACTGGTCCCCCTCCTTCCCGCACCAGAAAACTACGCTCTTGTCCCTGTTGACACGAGAGGCTGAAGCGGCAGAATACGCTAGGATTAAATCATCCACCTCCGTGGCCTCCCGAGTATTGGAGACCACTATGGAGATGTCATCAGCGTAGGCAACAACCCGTAAAGGCCTCTCCGGAGCCCTGGCCACTCCCTGTAACGTGCCTGCCTCGACCCTTCGGATGAAGGGATCGACTGCAAACACGTACAAGAGTGGGCTGAGAGGACAGCCTTGCCTGACCCCGGATCGGATCCTAAACGTCCTGCCCCTCCACCCGTTCACAAGAGCGAAGCTTTCGGCCCCTCTGTACAAGGTGATTATCCAATTGACGAATTTTCCCGGCAAGCCATACTTCCGCAAGACTGACCACAGATAACGGTGATCTACTCGATCAAAAGCTTTGGACTGATCAAGTGCCAGAAGGTATATCCCCCTTTCTCCGTCCCTGCACTTCTCGAGGGCTTCCCTGACTTCGAAAACGGCATCAAAGACAGTTCTGCCCTCGATTGAACAGTACTGGGAGGTGGATAGGACACGCCTCGCTAGGCCCTGTACTCGTTTCATCAAAATCTTTGCCAGGACCTTCCTGTCGACATTTAACAGGGATATGGGGCGCCAGTTCCCCACATCCGCTGTGTCGAGCACGTTCGGCTTGGACAGCAAGATCAGGGCAGAAGTCCTCATCGAGGGTGGCAATAATCCTTGAGACAAGCTCTCATTAAACACCTCGGTCAGATGAGGGGCCAAGAGGTCGCAGAACTGTTGGTAAAACTCGGCCGTCAGACCATCAGGACCTGGCGACTTACACTTGTTCTGCTGTTGGATACTCTCTGTAACCTCTTCTATGGTGATCTCGCTGACCAACTCGTCAAAAGAGAGGTCGCTATGCTCAGGGAGCGTGAGCTCGCTCAAGAAGTCATCCACCCTTCTCCCGTGGGAGGTTCCCTCCTCGCTACATTGGGGGCTGCCCTTTCCGAGGAGCTCAATGTAGTAGTCGCGGACCACCTTCAGAATCCCGCGAGGAGACTCCTCTAGGGTCCTGTCGGTGCCCCGCAGACTAGGGATGGACTTGGTACCTTCCTTCCGCTTGCAGCTAAGATAAGGATCGGGCGAGCGGTATGACCCATGATCCCTCTCTTTTACAAGGGAGGCGTACCTGTCATACTGATAACTCCTCATCAGGTTTTTAACTGCCGCAATGTCCTCGGGGTCACCTCCCTGTGAGATCAGGATGTCTAACCTCCCAAGCAAGCCCAGATACATCTTGTACCTGGAGGACTGCATGTTCCGGGCGAGATTGCGAAACAGCCGTTGAGTTCTGGCCTTCACCATCTCCCACCACTCAGACTTCGTTTGGCCTAAGTCGGCCAATGTCATCTGATCGTTAAAGAATTCCATGAAGGCTTGCTGAACCCTCTGTTCCACCAGGAGGTCTGAATTTAGCCGCCAGATCCCTCTACCCTTAGGTGGGGTACTATAGACATTCAACTCGCAAGACAAAATGTGATGGTCGGAGAACTCCACCGGTGTAAGCACGGGTGCCGCCACCGGGAAATTCTCCTTAAAGAAAAACCTATCTATCCTACTCTGACAGCTACCTCTGTGATAAGTGTACCCACCCGTGGGATTGGGAGTGTGATGAAGGCACATATCGACCAATCCAGCCTGACTAACCATCTTATTTAAAAAATAGGAGTCATACCCCAGCCTCTGAGTGGCGTCTCTCCTGTCTTGAGGCCTAGTTATGGTGTTAAAGTCACCGCCAAACAGGATTTGCTGGGATGTATAAAGGTAAGGCTCTATCTCAATAAACAGGCGTTTCCTCTCCCACTTAGATTGGGGGCCATAGATATTAATTATCCTGAAAGGTTGCCTGCCCATTGAGACATCTAAAACCACACACCGTCCTTTTTGCAACTCAATAACCCTGTTGATGCTAACATCAACGTCCTTAAATAGGATGGCGATTCCCCCATATCTCTCTGTGGCTAGAGAGAAGTAGGAGGGCCCCCATCTCCAGTCCCGCTTTGCAGCGTGCAGGGCCGCGAGGGTTTCCAGCCGGGTCTCCTGTACCAAGATGACATTGTACGGAGCCCGGCTGAGGTGGTCGTAAACCAAAAAGCGGGCCCTGCTGGACTTAATGCTGTTTACATTCACCGTAGCCACAGAGAGTACAGGAAAAGTCGCCATAAGGGCATTAAGTATAAGGAGACTTTCCCTTCCTTCTGCGGTACCCCTCCTCCTCCGTGTCGGAACCGAGGAACCTCTTCACTGAGACTCCGGGATACAGTGGCCCGTCGTCTCTCAGAAGCACCTCCTGTCCCACCTCAACCCCTGCCACCACCTCGGGGAGGTTCGCCATCTCCTCCTCGTACTCACAGTCGGCCCAACTGGAGGACAGTGCCTCGTACCTGTTAGATACGGGCACCGGGGCCTCCTGCAAGCCCGAAGAGGAGGATGACGCCCGTGCCACACCACCCTTATAAGTGGCGTCTCCCCCTTTCGGGGGTTTCGCCGCAGGGGGTATGGCGATCTTCTGGGGTGAGGGCAGCGTCGAGGTCTTGGAGGGGGGGGGTTTCTTACCTTTCACCGTGCTCCACTCTAGGGACTGTGCATCTAAGGGACGTGCATCTGGGGATTTTTCAGTGGGGGTAACCTTCACCGTGGAGAATTTAGGAGGAGGGGGCCTAGGGGGAGGGGGTCTAGGGGGAGCCATAATGGCTGTGGAGGTAGTGCGTTCTCTACGTACACTTTTCGTGAGGGGACGTGAACTTGTGGCCTTCCCAGGGTCCTGAGATGTTACAGAGACCGAGGGGAGAATGGGTTGTTGCTGGGGCAGGGAAACCCTTGTGCCAGAGATGGGCCTTGTAGATGACGATGCTACCTGAACCCCTAACCCAGCAGAGTCCATCTCCACCGGCTCCTGACTCCAGATGGACTCTACATTGTGCTGGGCTTCGGGGCAGGTGCGGTACGTGTGACCCATCTCTGAACACAGATGACACCGGATCTCCCTGCAGCTGTCCCGGAGGTGCCCCACAGCGCCGCACATAGTGCATTTGAGGACCGTACAGGCATTGCTGTAATGCCTGTACGATCCACACTTGTGACATACCCTGGGCTGACCAG